TTTTTTTCTCTCCTCCTTATCTTTATCGCAGATAATATCTTTTATTCTTTTTCCTATTAGAAATGAAATCGACAAAAAACTAAAGATCAAATGATAATTGACACTTTAAAAAAAAATTCGATTGACCATATTGATTTAATCAAAAAGAGAAGCTTAAGTACTTGTGAAATTGTTTTATCAACATTGACAATTGAGACATAGATGAGAAGAATAACTTATTTTTCAGTGACACTCATTTCTATTCATTCTACTCAATAGACAGAAGATTAAAAGATACTCTACTCCTATGTCAATATATATACAGATTCTTTTCGAACTATGTGCCGTTTTTTTTTTAATCATTCTTTAAGAGAGAAATAAGTTTGGTTCCGGCAGAATTCCAATAGAATAGAGAAGCATGCCGGACTACAAGTGGACATATGAGCAAATAACAAGCTATTTTGTATGAGAGCGTATGATCGCTTTCTTCCGTTCATCTCTTCCTCTATTATATTGCTTATGACCGACAATCAATAATCAACCAATGAAAAAAAAATACAAAAGAATCGTTCTTTTTCCTTATACATATATATATATTTGATAAAAAAACCTAAAGTTTTTTTTTAATCTTGTAAGAACATAAAGGTAAACGTTAATGAAATTGTCATTGTTATTTTGTTTACAAATATTGACATAAGAATTAATTCTAAAAACAAGTTAAAATTGTTTTTATAATAGACAATGAACGCAAAAGAAAGAAAAACGAAAAGAATGGAATTGTCGTTTATATATATATATACTTTTTTTAAAGATAGAAATCAATGTAATTTTCGGTAGTTTGATTGATCAGCATGGCGTGTGTCTATAAACAAAGATATGAGTTGAAGTGTATATTTGCAATTAGCGTGATAAGAAATGAAATGCACGCGATTCATTTCTCGTCTGTCGTTAATAAGTCAAGTGTAGATTAAGTTGCTTTATCATTATCATTCATTTTCTTCTCTTTTTTTTTAAGAAAAAAAGGTGTTGTTGCTTTTAGTCAATCACCTTTAAGCTAAAATCGCGATAAATCGATCGATAACGAAAAAGAAGTAGAAGAAAATTATCTAATTGAATAAGAAATAGGGCGGAGTTTATATTGTTAATAATGATAAATGAGAAAAAATTATCTCTATTTGTCTTTCGACTTCTTCATTAAAAACTCGTTTTTCTTTTCTTACATAAAACATATGTGTATAGAGAGAGAGAAATTTGGATAACAACCATATGTACAATATTGTTTGTTCCGGTTTTTTTTCTGTGTGCGCGAATATTTGTCGATTGTGACAAGATCTGAACATGATTTGAAATCAAGTGAGACCGCTCGTTCGCTTATTTCCTTTTCGATTAGATGAATTTGCTATTGTATAATGTTATTCAAACAAATTATTCAGTTTTTGAAATCAAGTAGAAAGAAAAAGATGAAAAGAATTCGAATTTGATTTACATATAAGTTAGAAGTTCTTCTCTTCAATATGAATTGATGCAGAAAAAATTTTTACTTAATAGATTTATTTGCGCGATTTAATTTCAAGTTTTTTTAGAATTAATTCTATGATTGGTCTAAAGAATTTATCGCGTAACGTCGAAGCCGATGGGATAAAATTATAGTTTCGGATTTGTTTTTATTATATAACATAGGAGTTCTTTAAATAGAAATTATATGGATTTATGAAGACATTACAAAAAAAAAAGAAGAACGATTATCAACATATATAAGTTAAGTAGATTATTTAATCTAGAATGTTGATGTTTTCTTTTTTGTATTTGAAGAATGTGAGTTTGTATGTTTAGGTATTAAATTAATCAAATCTATAAAAACATGAACTGTTTTAATAATAAAAACAATATCATTCGGTTAATATTTGTTTGACAGAAGTTGAAAAGATCAAGTTATTAATGATTCTCTCGGTTGACAATTCTGGAAATGAAAGAATATTTTTTAATTTCAATAATTGTGAGAAATGTCGAGACTGATTAGGAAATGTTTTTTTTATTTGATTAACTTATTTCTCTATTAAAAAAAGTCATATCTTGATAATTTATAGTATATTTTAATTACAATGGTGAAGAATTAATTTGAAGTATAAATATTTTAATGAATTGTTTGATTGGGATTAGCGAACATTTGTTGAAATGATAACATAATTTGTGGCATTTGTGATTGAAATTTATTTTGAACTAATTGTGCAAGACGAACGTCAGCTTGACCTTCTTTTACAATTAATTTTTTTCCTAATGGAGATGAATAAAATTCAATTAAACCATTTATATCAACTAATGTATAAAGACTACGGTAGATTTTAATAATATCTGGACGTAATGATTGAAATGAAAAAAAACTTATTGATTAATTTTAAGATTTCCGATTTATAACTTGCAAAAGTTGCATCACTTGTAATATATGCTTCTAATACAGTATTAAATTTTTTTTCAGCTTCAGTTATATTAAGTAAACGATTGATACGTTGAGTTAATTTTGGATCGACGACAGGTTTACCTTCAATTGGAATGAAAGAAACAGCAATGACAATAAGACAATATAAACGTATCGACATAGTAGTTGTTTTTTGGTATATGAATTAGAAAATGAAGATGTTCTTGGTTTTATATTGATAAGAATTAAATTGATATTTGATCTTTTTCTTTTTTTTTTATATGCAAAGATAATTTTAATCGAATAGTTAGTTTTTTTATTTGATTTATATAAGATAACTTGGAGAGTCATCTTTAGACTTTCAGTAGTGCAAATGTTAATAATCAATATCAATACATCTAATGAAGAACTGTAAAATTGTTGATAAATCAAGTTCTTAGAATAGACTAACTAACATTCCTCTATTAATTGATATATGATGCATTGAGAAAGAATGTAAGTAATATTGCAATAGTTTTATTTGGTAGGACAGCGAAAAATAATTCTATACTATACATTGAATCAACGTTTGATAGCTCTTATGAATAATTATTGAGTCTATTCTTTTGCTCTGCTAACTTTTTTCACAAATACTGTTTTGATGAAGGTCAATCAGATATCTGTTTCACAACTTTTTCAGTTTATATTATTCTTCGATTTTTAACTTACACAACCCCAAAACAGTACAAAGAAAACATGAGGATTAAATAAATGTGCAAATAACTTTTAACATTTATAAAATAAAACTCAATCAGGTTTTTCTTCCTCGAAAACAACGATAAAATAGAGAATGAGAGGTAAATGTTTTAATGTCATAGGTAAATAGACAACTATCTAGATTAAGAATAGAGTATGTCAATAGGTGTATTCTTACTCATCATCAAAATCACTTCGATACGTAACATTATTCTTAAATAAAGAGGAAATATAGAAAAATTAATATTATATATTTTTTTTGAATTTTTTATCTGTATCCATGATAGATAAACGAATGAAGATCTTGTCTTCAGTATACTTCGCCATGTTATCAAAATCGGAGGAAAATCGACGATTTAGGACCCGATTAATTGTGAGATTTATTGCGATAAAAAGTCATCATAAATGACAGAATTTTAGTAGACTAGATAATTTAACATCATTTGATACTGCACTATCCATGCCATCAAAAATCCTGAAAAAATTGGCGATTTGATCGCAAAATTAAGGACTTTTTGCCGATTTTTTTTCGAAAAGTCTTGATTCGTAATGATTCCGACAAAATAACCATTTCCTACTGACGATATAATCGTCAATTCTTTTTAAATCGCGATTCATTGCCCAAACCTTAGCGATTTTGATAACATGGGTCCTTTTTAAGACAAATTTTTAATTGTTAATCACAGATCTTCATCATGATGAGGAACTTATAAGTACGAATATGTGTTCTATTAATCTACATTGTGTAGCAATGTCTTCCTGACAACTATTCAAGTTAGATAATATATAACAATTCATTCAAATTATCGATTCTGAGTGACATCTGTCGAATTATGTTATTTTTTGTTTTTAATGGACTGAATTATTTAGAAATAGTTTTTACTATGTTAGTAATATAATAAATTAATTGTTCGATAACGTTTGGTTAATAAAATGAGCCATTGTTAATGCGACTATTCATAGGAGAAATGAATCATTCTCGTTGAGTCGTGACCAACGAAGGAAAAGACGTAACAAATATGGATATTAAATAATTTTCCACGTAAATAGTGCATTTAATTATAAAAGTACATTATTAAATTTTTTATTATTGAATTATTTTCATTATTTTATACTTTTTATTTAAAAATAAATTCTAGAATTTTTAAATTGTCTTTGATTTTTAGATTCTTTTTATACAATGAGCTCTGTAACGAGCAACACACCAACAGAAGCAGCGGCAGCAACTCCAGCTGGCGATTCGATTGAAACTATATTTTGTAAGTTTTACTGTTTTTAGTATCGCAATTTTTTATATAATTTATTTAGTTAAAGTAACAAGTCCAATTCATAAAAGCGCAGATCCAAATCTATTTAATACATTTTGTCAAAAAGTTAATTCTGAACCCGAAGGTCATCATCTAGCAATTCGTTTAATTGCTCATAAAATTCAATCACCACAAGAATATGAAGCTTTAAGAACATTAGATTTACTTGAATCCTGTGTTCATATTTGCGGTAGAAGATTTCATCAAGAAATAGGAAAATTTCGTTTTCTCAATGAAATGATTAAACTTGTTTCACCTAAAGTAATATTCTTCTTTATAATTTATTTAAAAAAAATATTTCTTTTTTAGTATTTGGCAAACCATACATCCGAAAAAGTAAAGAAAAAAGTTGTTGAACTTATGTATTCTTGGACACAAACTCTACCAGGTGAAGTTAAAATTAATGAAGCATACCAAATGTTAAAACGTCAATCAATTATAACTGAAGATCCTGTTTATATTAATAAATCATCTGTGACACCTGCAGCACCAAGAGTAAAATCAATATTTGATACAGATGAAGAAAAAAGCAAAGTAATAAAAAAGACTTTAGAATATCACATTTATTTTGTTCTATCTTAAAGACACTTCAGCGTTTATTAAAAAGTCGAAAACCTGAAGATCTTGAACAAGCCAATGCGTTAATTAAAAGCTTCGTTAAAAAGGTTTGAAATTTAATTAATATTTTTAGAATCAAATTATTTTCATTTAGGATGAAGAAAAAATTGAAAAATTATCAAATCGAGCAGTTGAATTAGAAAAAGTTCAAAATAACGTTCGAGTTTTATCGGAAATGCTTATTCATTATAATCATTCAACAGTGACTGAAGCTGAACGGGAAACAATGACTGTTTGTTTTATATATTTAAATTTTTTATTGTAAATTATATTGAATTTTTCTAGTATTTACATGATGAATTAGAAAAATTACGGCCTGTTTTATTTCGATTAGCAACTGAAAGTGAAGATGGCGATGAAGGACTTGGTTTGTTAAAGTTTATTCTATTAAACATAGAATTTATTTAATAATTTAGGTGAAATTTTACTTGCAAGTGATACATTATCACGAGTATTGGCGCAATATGATCGTTTAGTTCGACAAAATATCTATGCTAAAGATGGTTTATTATAAAAAAAAATATTTATTAAAACTAAATCTAATTTATTTAGATAATGTACTACCTTTATACGATGATATTCAACCGGCTGCAGCAAGTTCTGCTCCACGAACTCTAATTGATTTGGCTGAAAACTTAAATAGTTAGTTATTGATTATTACACTATAATCTTATTTGGAATAATTTATAGATTCAACAAATAAACCTAATGAAACAAATTCTGCTGCAAATGAATTAGATGATTTATTTGGTTCAATAAATATTGCGCCAACATCAAATCAGAATGACCTTGATGATTGTCTACCACTTTTTCCCTCGAGCACTACAAAAGCAACTAATTCAAGTAAATTTTTTTATTTATTATAAATAGAAAACAAATGAAATTTTGTGTAATATAGCACCGGTAATGACAAAAAAAGGAGGTTTATTTGATGATTTACAAGATCTTCTTGTTGATCAATCAACTGGACAGAAAATTTCATCGACGAAAAGGTATATCAATCAAAAAATATTTTTTTTTGGTAAATTAAGTTTATTTTTTAGTACATTTCAATTTACAAGCTCAAATACAAATAAAATTCCATTGAATGAAATCAAAAATTCTTCTGTAACAAAATCAATAGATACTGATTTACCATTTCCAATAATAACACTTGAATCTATTCATCCTTCATCTGTGAATCCACCAATAACCCTTAAATTAGCACGTCAAACCGGTCTTCAATGTGTTCTTCATATTGCACGCGATTCTCCTCGTTCGGATCTGATTGTTAGCGTTTTAACTGTCACTAGTACAAATACTTCAAATACTATTAGTAATTTTCAATTTCAAGCTACAGTACCCAAAGTAAATCTTTTGTTTTTTGTCTTACATAGATCTATTTTGTTTTATTAGACTATGCGAATCAAGCTACAAAATTCATCAGGCACTGATTTACCTACATACAATCCGATATTACCTCCACAAGCTATTACCCAAATTTTAGTTGTATCCAATCCAAATAAGGTTCGCCATCATTTTTATTTTGATAACTGAAGAACTTAATTAATTTTTTTATAGGAAGCAGTTCGACTTAGTTATAAACTAAGTTATTATTTATCAGGCGAACAAATAAATGAATCGGGTGAAATAGACAATGGATTTCCTAGTTCAATTGATCTGATTTAAAGTTTTATTTTATTTATACATAAAAAGAAAAAAAACATATATATATTTATATATATATTTCTCTTTCTACATTAATCTTGTTTTTTTTTGTTCTGATGTTTTAATGTTTTCACCTGAGAGTAAACGTATATAATAACGAGAAAATAAGCAAGCAATGCATGATATAAAATAAGAATATGTCATTTTGCAAACAGTTTATTCTTTGTCACATATATTTTTCTTTTTTTCCCTCACACTTGTGACATTTTATTTTGATATATGATATATATATAAATGGCATCGCTTAGAAGACATACAGTTATTGATACTTTTTGTAACTTATGATCCTAGTGATGATCAAAGATCGTCATCAAAACAACAATACGGACGAACTGTTGTTTCGACAAATCTTTGGCTGAGAATGAGTGTCAATGTTAATATATTCCTAACGTCAATTAAATTTAATATTTTATTATTTCTAATTTTAAATAAAAATTAATTCAAAGATTCTTTTTAATTTTACTATAGATGAATAGATTCAAGCCATTTTTCAATGTTGCTAAGTAAGTTTCATTTGTTATTAGTTTAATATACAATCTTATATCTACATATATATTTGATTGCGTTGTTGTTGTTGTTATTATTAAGAAGAACAAAAAAAAAACTTTTTTTTTATCAGTTGTCTTATCGAGAGTTTTCACAGTGTAAGTTTAAGTAATAAAAACTAAAATCTACTTCTTTTTCTTCAAAAACGATACTAATTTGACCAATTCTTTTTTTTATTTTACTAATTGCTAAGTGAAAAGATTGAATGATTTTAATAAGCTTGCTTAAACATCATTAATCTACTAGATCTTTTCTAACATGTTATAGAACAGTTTCAAATTTTATAATGTATTTTCTCTATTCAATCATTTCAAAATCAAACTATAGAGAGGATTGATTTTTATTTCATTATTAAATATATAATTACATAAATTTTTAGAACTGATGATACGCCTGAATGTTATAATCGTGTTCGTTATATTCGAGATTCATGTAAAGTACTTGCTGATCTTCGGAAATCGGAAAAAGATTTTGTAAGTTTATTTATTTTTTTGGAGAAAAAAAGAACTTCAATATTTTTCTTTAGTTAAATAAAAGTATTGATAATGATATATCAAAAGCATTTAAAGAATTTCGTGTGACTGATAATGCACGTGCATATTATTCTCCAAATGGATTAACTGGTAGTCCATCTATTTTAAATTCAACAATTGATGATTTAATACAAATTCATGAACAAATTGATGAAGAAAGAAAGAAATGGTTTGAAAAATTTCGAAAAATTAGTGATCAAGCAAAAGAAAAACAAGTATTTATTTATTTATTCATTTTTTAAATACGAATTAAAATTATTTTTTAAAACTAGGCATATATTCGACAAACAATATCAGATCTTCGTGATAATTATGAACGTGCTAAAAAAAATTATGAAACAGCTGAATCAAACTTTAAAAAGTTTGTTAAAACAAATTAAATTAATCTATATTTTGTTTTCTTTTAATTAGATTTCAAAATCGTCCAGATCGTATGTCCGTTCCAAATTATGATGAACGTTTTCGTGAATTAGAAGATATTCGTATAGAATGTGATCGTAATCGAATATCAGCTCATGATATTTATGTAACAGAAATAAATCGTACATCAAGTGAAGAGCATTCTATAACTCGTGATTTTTTTCTTCGATTTTTATGTGAGGAACAAACATTTTATACCGATATTCAACAACTTTTATCTAATGAAATACCTAAAATTCAAAATCGTATCGACACTGATAGATTAGCTCCATCATTTCAATGTGATATATCGGAACATTGTGTAAAAAGAATTCAACGTCCAATAGCTTATCCAATTGATATATGTATTGATTTATTAAAAAATAGTGTTGGAGAAGAAGGACTTTTTCGTGTATCACCTGCACTTATTAAACAAAAGAAATTAATTTCTGAACTTGATTTACAATTAATTCAAAAAGGTTCAACTTTATCTAGCCTTGGTTATGAACCACATGTTGCAGCAAATGCATTAAAACAATATTTAAGAGATCTTCCTGAATGTTTACTTACTAATGAACTTTTACCACAATGGAATGAAATTTCTGTACTGTAAATTATTCGAAATTTGAAAATATTCTATATATATTTGGAATTTTATTTTAGTAATGAAGATGTTCGTATTCAAAGGATAAGCGAATTATTAGTTCAATTACCTACGATAAATTATGAAAATCTTCGGTTAGTTTATTTTCTTCTAGTCTTTCTATACAAAAATTATTTTTTCATAGTCAAATAATTCGTTTTCTAAGTCGTGTTGTTGACGAATCATCTACAAGTAGAATGACAGCAAGTGCTTTAAGTACTTGTATTGGATATAGTCTTCTTGGTGTAAAAGATCAAATGCCAGGTGCTTATAAACAAGGTTCAACAATAGTTGAACTTATGATTACTCATCATGAAATATTATTCCCATCAGATAATCATATTACATATCAATCAAAACCACCAGATGTTATTCCAACTCTGCGTTCATCAGTAAATTATTCATTTATATTTTTATTAATTATTAAAATTTTATTTCTTTTTTAGAAGAATTATTCAAATTCAGTTGAAGATCTAATCAATATAGAACCTTCGAAATCGTAAGTTAATTTATTTTATATTCAATAAAGAAATATTTTGGTTTCGTTTATAAGATCACCAAGAAATAGTCGAAAACAAGTAGCACCTCATCCACCTCTTGTTCGACAAGCATCAAGTCAAATGGATTTAACATATGGTTCACAAATTTATAAAGACGAAACATCAACAGATCAACCTCCTGCGGAACAAGTTGCAGGTGATTTTATTTGATATACTACATAAATAAAAAAATTTCTAGTATAAATCAATAGAAGAAATCCTTCAAATTATACTTTACAAAAGGTTTCTTTTTTTCTTGTATTTCGCTCGCTTCTATTGACATGTGGTAATGTTTTATGATATGAAACTAACGTTTGCTTTGAATTTACAATGACATAAAAATTTATTAATTATATAACTATGTCATATTTTTTTGTGTTGTCTAGGTTCGAATTCTTCTTCAAATTTATATGTGGCTAGAAAAAGTAATAATAATAATAATAATGGAAATGTTAGACCAGAAATACATCGTCCATTAGGTCCGCCACCTATTCCTCCAATGGCTCGACCACGTACAGTTTATAAAAAAGAACAAGAAACATCACCAATCAAAGAAAATAATGAATTATCAACAAATGACATATCGATACTTTCACCACCATTAGAAGATGGTATTCCTGTTGGAAATTTATTATCTGATTTATATACAGGAGCGACAAATTCGAATATGAATACAAGTCAAATAAATGATAGTCGTATTTCTTCACATCAGTATAATACATCATCACCAGCTACATCTGAAGAAATAACGGAATTCTAGTCTTTCATATTATTCGGTGCTTTTAAAATCATTCCTATAAGTGAACACTCTTTCTTTCGAACAACGAATTTATTATACCTGTCTTTTTCATTTTTCAAAACTAATTATTCTTTTTTTTTTATATATATACATATTCCGATTCTTTTTCTATTGTTAATAATCAAAAGTAATTGTTATATTCCAGATAAAAAAAAATATGGATTTAGCTTTTTTGAATAATTTACGAAAAATATCTGATGAAGATGATCGATTGGTTACAATAACACTTCTTATTGATATTACTTCAAATTTAATTAGTGATAGAAATAATCATCGATATCATACATTACCTATTTGTTATATTCGAGAAATGTTTCAGAAATATACAGGTGCAATGCAATGCCTTCATACTATCGGATTTAAACAGGTTAGAGATTCAGATTTTTTAAAGAGTGGGTGTGGGTCTAGGTCTGGGTGTAAGAAATAGAGAAGAAGAAGAAATATCTCGCCTTTCAGTATAGAGTGATGTCCAAGAACATTTTCATAAGCTTGATATTCTTCCTACAAATATTTCTAGTCGTCGCTCTGGGCGGAAGACCAGCCTGACGCAGAGTTCTTTTCGCTTAATCACTTAAGCTCCTCATATATATACTGACTGACTACATACAAGCTACAAGAGCTATAATATATGTCCAAGAATAGAGTAGTCACACTCACCCTAAGAAAACAGAATATATGCAAATTCAAAGATTGTTTATTTCATCGGAGATGATAATTTACTGTAGCTATCAAATAGTAATTCGACAACAATTAACTTTGATTTATAACTGAAGATAACCCTTCGTGGTTGTTGTGGGGTCCACACGGACCCATTTCACAGATTTTTATTCAAAAGTACATCGAGGGCTTCTGTGTTTGACCTATCCTTTTATATCATCACTAGTTCTATGTCGGTCTATATCATCCTTATTTCAAATCACAGATAAGTCGAATAGATAAAAAACTGCGCTATGGGTCCGCGTGGATCCCAGGATAACTTTACTCTTTTCAACAGATTTTTTCCCTGTTAAAGCTGCAATCTGTTGATTTATAGCTATTTTTAAAATAATTTCTTTGATTCGTTACTAAGTTTACTATTATGTTGATAATTTATAACGTCGTTCAAAAGTTTAAGTTTAACTTATGTTATTTTCTTACGATCAAAACTACATTTACTGGTTGTAATTTGTTTAAAAGTTTATCTGTTGTTTTGATATATTTGCATTACTTCCAAGAGAACTAACTCATGAATCTTTATACATAATGATGTCTATGTCTTCACACAAGTCGAATAGAACGCGTAGAGATAAACAGACATTAGGTTTGTGCATTTTTCTGAGGATGGGTCCAAGTGGATCCCACGACATCCATGAATCACAAAAATGAGGACAGTCACGAAGGGTTAATAGAAATTTTCTTTCAAATATTTTTTTCATTATATTAAAATAAATTTAGATCAATGATGATTATGTATTCGATCAATCAGTATCTGACAAACAACTGCAGGAAATAGTGAAATTACTTGAAAATGAATTAGATCCTAAACCAATTGATAAATGTGAAGAGGTAAATTTATTTTTTCTAATTTTGAAATTGTAAATAAAAATAATAAATTTCTTTAGGTAAAATGTAATAGTCTGGATCTTGGAATAAGTGATAATGATAGGTCGTCTAATAGTTTAATTTCATTTGATAATTTTCATGTTTCATCTCATTTTGATAAATTAATTCCATTTGTATCAATATTAAAACGTGTTCAATCCTATGAAGATATAAATCTTCAACATTATATTCGCTCAAAAATAATTCCATTAGAAGATTTTAATCGAAGAATTTCAAAGAAGATGAAATCTACCGATATTAATAAACGTGATTTATTATTACTTGAATTATTAAGATGGTTTAAAGAAGAATTTTTTACTTGGTTTGATCGAGCAAATTGTGATTATTGTAAGAAACCAATGGATTTTGCAGAATATATTCAACCAACAAGAGAAGAAAGAGAATATGGAGATGCACATAGAGTTGAACTTTATAGGTATGAAAAATAATTAGATACTCTTTTTAAATAAAATATATTTTTTTTTGTTTTGTAGATGTTCAACTTGTTCATCTGAATATCGTTTTCCTCGTTTTAATGCACCCATAAAATTATTAGAAACTCGTAGTGGTCGTTGTGGTGAAGCTGCAAATCTGTTTGCTTGTCTATGTCGTTCATTATCATTTTTAACTCGTTATATTTATGATCCTAGTGATCATGTTTGGACTGAAGTTTATTCTGAAAGTGAACAACGTTGGCTTCATTGTGATTCATGCGAAAATCTTTGTGATTCTCCACTTGTTTATGAAAAAGGATGGAAAAAAGAATTAACATTTTGTATTGCTTTTGCTAAAGATCATATTGGAGATGTTACTTGGAGATACGTTACTAATTTCAGACAAATTATACAGAGACGAAATATTAATGAAAAAAATTTCGCACGAACAATTCATCAAATTAATCGAAAAATTCAATCTCAACTTAATCAAGAAGAAAAAATAAAAATTATCTCAAAGTAAGTTTATTTCAATTGGTTTTACTCTTTCGGGATAGATAGTATACAGTATAAACCTTCGAGCTGTTCGAGTGTCGTTGTGCGTGTGCGTGTGGATGAGGATGAGCCCGTTCTTTATTGGCGCCCACACCCACAACCACATCCGCCCACACCCGCCCACATCCAAACCCACCCACACCCACACCGAGTTGCTTCTGGAAATAATTCCTTTCTGAAAGAATTAAGAGACTTTTATTAATATAATTTTATTTCTAGTCAAATAAAAGATATAGTCAGTATGTTGAATGAAGAAAAATCGGCAAAAGAAAGTGAATTACATGGTAGACAAAGTGGTTCACTTGGTTGGAAATTATCACGTGGAGAAACAGATCAACAAGTTTATTTTGTTTTGATTTTCTAGAACTTATGAATTGTTTTTTTTGTTGTTGTTAGGATGATGTTATCAATGGTTATGTTTATTCAATAACTAATGAAGAATGTGAGAAAGGTTCAATTCAAATTGAATATAATTCTGTCGCCGATAAATATTTACGTAATGGAATTGAAGAAATAAAAAAAGATGGATGGATTGATCGAGTTTATTCATGTTCAAATATCCAAAGAAAAATTGAAAAAGATTGGAAAATGGTTTATTTATGTAGAGAACACTTACATACAAATGGAATTCTTTCATGGACTATACAATTAAAACCTGAAGAAGAAAAATTTTATCAATTTCATCATATAAGTATTCAATGTCCATCGAAAGCTTTTGATCAATATACTCAAATTATTTGTCAATTACAAATTGATGATAAACAAATTATTGATCTATCACAAAATTTATCTTCAAATTCATTATTTGAATATAGTTTAGATAATAAATTAGATTCGTTAACAAATATTCGATTAACTTTCAAAGTTACTTTAAATTGTTCAAATGATAATAATGATAATAATGCTTGGCAAAAAGGACAATTATTTCGTCAATCAACTGACCAAGTATCAAATGCTGATCAATCGCATCATCTTCGAATACATGCTACGATTAGAAAAAGAAATTGAAATTTATAAAATTATATATTTACTTTTTATTGTTAATAAACAGGATAGTTTTTAAAATGAATGTCAAAGACTTAATAAAATATTTCCATCTGTGTTGATCTTTTCACACAAAAAAAATATTCGCAAATTTTCTTGTCTTATGTTCATAAATAGATTTGTATGAAATATAAAAATAGTGTAAATGATCGATTTATTCATTTTGATGGTGGATATGAGTATAGGTGTCCATTATTCATCTGCATCCACGCCCTCAATAAAAACGAGTCGATATTTTTCAGTTAAGATCCTTTTCACAAGTTACTAAAATCAGAAATAGCTTTTATTAGATTATTATTTATCAATTTTCATGTATATTCCTCATGCATACTCTCTATTGGTAATACATCAATTGAATAAATATTCTATTTTGTATAGATTTGATATTATCATCAAATTCATTTTTCAATATTTACGATTCTTATGATACTTTTTATGGAATCACGAAAATAAAATCATAATAAATCAATATTAATCATCACAAGATCGTACCTCATTTCTTTTAGACAAGAATTTTGCTGTTTCTAAATATAAAGATAAAGAACTATTTTTTATTTTTCCGTAATAATAAATCTGAAAAATCAACAAAAAAACTCTTTTTCTAGAAACTAATAATAACTAAATTAATTTCATATGTGATGATTTTATCTAAAATATTTTTCAAAAAATAACAGCCATCTGAAAAATAAGGTTAGAGAAATATTGAAAAAAACATTAGAATAATACCTGACCTTTTTATTTGCTTTAGAAGAGTTCTGTGTATTAAGAACTTTTTATAAACAATTTATTAAATATGCCTCTGTTCAAGTAATGTTTTCTTTTACCTTCGTCAATCAAACAACTTCATATAACTAATGATGTTTTAAACTTCGATTGAAGAAATGTCATGATTTTAGTTGTGATGAAATAATAAAAGAGAACAATCTTTGATATAAATAAAAATAAATCATAAAATGAAATATTGATGAAAAGAAAATCATAAATCCTTTTAAGAGCCTTTCTGTGACAAACGTTTACAAAATCAACTTTTCAAAACATGTAGACGCACAAACTAGTCAGGATGAAAGAAATCTATTTTTGATTTCGAGGGCACGAACAAGTATTAAGAGAAACAATTTTATGTTCTTTCAATTGAAAGAGAAATTTAGGAAGTAATATAAAAAAAAGAGTAAAGAAAAATCATTCATTGCTGTGCATATTTTATTTTTTTCATCGATCACACAAGAAAATGCGATTTATTATTGTGTTGTTTTTCATTATATCTCTTTCATCTGTAAAAGGTTTGCTATAGATTATCTTTTTTATTATCTGATTCTGTCACAATATAAATAAATTCTATAGGACAAACTACACAACCACCGAATTATTCTTGTACTGAAAATAATGCTTCTATTCAGTTTACATTATCTTCATCAGCTCATTCAGCTTGGAATTCAACATCAAATTGTTCTTTACAACAATGTAATACAAGTTTGAATGGTAACAATAATTGTCTTTCATCATCAACACCTTGTTATGATTATCGAACAATAAATAATATTAGTTATTGTGCACCTGGTATTTTATGTTCAATATTAGAAAGATGTAATAATGTTACACAAACATGTTTATCAAATAATTCAATATGTGTTATTAACTCATGTTGTTCATCTCAACCAGTTTGTTTGCCATTGTTAGCAACACGAATATGTGAAAGAGGTAATAATACATATTATTTACATTTGAGGCTCCAAAATTAATTAGAGCAATTCATTGTATTCATAGTTATAGATATGGTATCATTCATTTGTATAATATCTCTGTCGAATGATATCTTTGTTGTAGTGGTAACAAATGTAATAAATAGACTAAGACAGATTTGTGATATTCATTGTTAACCAACAAGAGAAATGTAAGAGAGATGAGGAACTGAAGTATGTTGAAGTGTTGAGTTTAATTATTAAATGACACATTGATAGAAGTTCATATATGATTCCGTTGGTCGAATAAGAGATTATAGTTTTATAATAAATCAATGTTGTTTGTGTTTGAGCTGAAATATTGTGGGGTGAACTTTCTTAACTATTTTTCGAGGGTAGATGTGGGTGTGCGATGGATACAGAATTCACACCTACCCTCAACTATCCCATCTATCTTGTCTTGATTGATGAGATAATCGAGTGAACTATACAATTCGACATTAAATACTAACTTTATCTTCAGATTAATTTTGTTCTCATGTTTGGAACATTTATATAGGTTTGTTTTTTCTATGATAGTGTTCATTACATAAGAAGATGTGAATGGTCAATTGACGAAAAACTGTTGTTGTATCAAGAAACTTAAGTAGAGCATATAATTAGATATGAAACATGACTGAAAATAAAGTCAGAAGAAACTAAATAGGTGAATTTATGTAAATTAATGGAGAACTAGCAATGATTTGATAGTGAATTATCAGAGACTTCCGGAGTAATCACTCATTTTCTCATTAATTCATGTTTTATATCAGTTTCAGCGATGGATGCTATATAGATCTTTTCATACTTATACATTGATCATTGTAAAAAGAAATTTTATGATTAATTCACTATTTGGATTGTGATATCCAGAGAACTATGAAAGAGTTTATACAAAGTTCATACTTTTCATTCTATTGAATATCTTTCAAGCATATCTTTTATAATTTGTGGAAAATCGAAAGCGCATGAGTTCGTGTAATTATCATAGTGGTCAATTTGAGTAAACAACCTTTATATATTTGATTGCGATAAAATATGAAGCAGAAAATAGAGAATACTGAAGATGTGATAGCGATATTTGAAGAGATTTCGTGCAATAGATTTGACTATTATTCTCAGTCTACATAAGCTTCAGGTGGTATGAATCAGATATATGAAAGACTGTCGTTTTTAGAATAATGAAAAATATTGTATACAAGAGTGATGATTGTTGATTGTTTGATGATCTAATATTGTATTGTCTAAATATATAAAAATGTAACTTCTAGGATGGTTTCCTACTGGCAATATGATTAATGCACGACGGAGTCACACAGTATCTGTATTATTAAATGGAAAAGTATTAGTTACTGGTGGATCGGATGGTAGTGCTTTATATAGTGCTGAATTATATGATCCACCAACAGGCACTTGGACAACTACTGATGACATGACTAATGCACGATTTCTTCACAAAGCATCTGTATTATCAAATGGAAAAGTATTAGTTACTGGTGGATGGGATGCTAATACCATTGCTTTATATAGTGCAGAGTTATATTAAGTATTTCAAACAAATTAACTTTCAGTTATCTAATTATTTGTCTTACAAGTAGTTCAAATTGCAAACAATACTTTAGTTAGAAGAATTCTCATTCTATGACGTCCGCAAACTGTTTCCTTCCATATTTTTACTTGATTATCGTACACTTTAATATTCGATCCCAAATAAAAATAAATATCCTTGTTTTTCTACTCTTATAGATTAGTTTATTATGATCAACAAAACTTATAATTGATATGATAACTTTAATTATCCTTTCAAATGTTGTCTTAGTTTTACAGTATTATTTTTCATAATATTTAATTGTTTTAATAGTATCCATCGGATTTAGAATGTATAATCATTGACACATTTTGCTTACAAAACGACTTCGAAGTAAGTTTATGAATGATATAGATGAACATATTTATGAATAATAACAGCAGATAATCTAAAGAACAATCTATATTTTCTAAGCTTAAGGTTAGACAGCGAATCGCTCAAATTAACTCATTTAGGCTTTTTCGTAGGACATCCCCTTCTCTACGCAAAATCCTCTTCTTCTCTTATGTCTATCCTCTATTCGTATGGTTGTTCCCCTTGTACCCACTCTTTACAGAAACACAGCAACAAGACTTGAACCACTTCTACTTCGTTTGCCTTCGTAGAGTTCTCTATGCCCTGCACATTAATAATGATCTTTTTGCGTTCTGTCTCAATGAAAAATCCCTTGAAGACCGCTGTAAAAACTACTTCGAAAAGTATTTCGAAGCCTGGTCGGATACGATTGATGGTAGACTAATTTTCGAATTAGCTAACGTCAATTTCTTCCGGGAACAATGACTGAAGAATAAATATCCAGTTAAGGGTACACATAGAACGAAAAGATTCATCGGCCACACCTCTGTTTTGGAAAAATGCGCTACGTGGTGCGCAAGTATCCCTCCCAATCATTCCACCATCAACTATGATATTGATGATGTCATGACCTTGGCTGATTTCCCCGAATCGTTCTGAAGTTTTTTTTTTTCTTTTCTTTTCTCCTTCCTCTTGTCTTCTTCCTTTTTTGATCGTGATACTGTTGTTGTAATAAATATGTAACTATGTATTACATATTCTTGTTTCTCTCCTCTTTGTGTGATCTGTTTTGTTTTTGTACCTCCTTTGTTGCTGTCTAGTGTTACTCTTCTCATATTTATATATACTAAACTATACTATTTTTTTTTTTCTATTTTCTTTCTTTCTCTCTCTTCTAACTCAATCATGTACTGTAAGGACCTTTAAGGTCGTCAGTCTCATTTTGCCTAAATAAATAAAAAAAAAAAAACAATCTATATTTCATATTAGATATACGATGTAGTGAGAATGAGGATAGAAATATTGATGAGTTAAGCAAAATACTGGCATACAATTTCTCCTATTTTACGGTAGTGTATATTTTAACGAAAGAGAATAGACAATAATATGATTTCTATTTAATATTTCTTTGTGATTAGTAATTATCTCATTTTTAGTCTTAAATTTATTAATTCAAGAGCTACTCCAGAAAAGTCAAATTGATTAATGTAGAATATTTATCGAGAAGTTCTGTTGAAATATCAATACAAAACTATAGACAGAGCTACTTTTTTTTGTTCATGTTCATTGATTCTACAAAGTATGAAATTGTTCACTTTTGACTTAAGATCTTAAGCTGGATCTTTCAGTTATAATATCTTATGGATTCATGTCTATGTTAGCATCCTGAAGGTGTGGGTATGAGTGTCGGTGTACCATATCTATAGTACCCACATTCACACTCATCTTTAAAAATCGTTAGTTTTATTAGTTTCTTTCAAAATCATATGTAACATAGATTTCTGCGATTTGTCAAAGGTAATTCGTGATCAACATACATAACAAAGTAAACGTACCAAGTACTATTTTCGTACTTAAGTGTAAGGCCAAATATACTTTCAAATTTTTCAAAAAAACTTAATATAGCTTTTAAAGTTTTGTTTTCTAATTCCAAATAAAATTGTAAAGGGCATAGGATGAGTATACACAATTCTAATCAAAATTGTACAGCAGAAAAACCATGATCAAGTCAGTTATTGGTGACGAATCGGAATAATTTAAGTTCAGAACATGTCCGTGACTCTAAATGATTGAAATCTTGAATTTTCTTACGAATTGTCTAATTATCATTTTTTTTCGGTCAAAACTTGATCTTCAAAATCTAGAAAGAATACAATTGTGTTCTCCTCTATCCAATAATGTGTGATTCGTTCTGGCACCTTAAAATAAAAGCACTGAACAACAAAACAAATCTGAAACATGATTAAATGTGAATTGTTTCTTTAATCTGAATCAGATGGTGTAGTATAATATTCTTCATAATATTTTTCTTTATAATCAAGGTAAACATTTAGTGTTCTTGCGTTGTCTTCAAACCATGTATAGATTGATTTATTAACGCATTTGATTTTTATTATTGATAATTCAGAACATTTTGTTAATATAAATAAAACATCATCAACATTATCGATATCACAATGAAGTTCTTCGACATTTGAAAACGTTTTACAAAACCAATCTAAATCTTGGATTTTAATATAATGATAACAAGATGGATTAGTATAATCCAACATTTTAATCTTTTTGTTCAAAAGTTCACAGAGTTCGTGATTGGTGTAAAATGAGCTTGTTATTTGCTTCTTTAATATTAATGACGATATATTTGGCATTTGCTTCAATATTTCAAACAGTAACTCTGATGTAATTATACATTTTTTCTTAATTTCTAATTTTGTAATATTTGATAAGTTGACCATCTTCTTCAGATGTTCTATTTTCAATTCATTCTTATCATCTTCATAACGATCAGCATTTATTAATCTTAATGATCGAACATTTCGAAAATACCATGATGAATCATCTCTGATTGCGTTTGAAAACAAAGATAAATATTTAACATTATCATATTCATTTAAACCATTTGTCGATGGACTATTGTATTTCTTCATAGTAGGTGTTAATGTATAGTGAGTAGATGAATATGGTATAGTATAAACTGATGTAAATTCGTTATCGACTGCATAATTGATATACCAATTGTGTTGATGCCAAAAATCAGTTTGAAATGGTGAAAGCTTGATCAACATATTATCGTAAGAATCAGAATGGCAATAATGAAAGTCGAAGTTGAATATACGTAATAGTGGTAAGGAAGATTTGATGAGATGCTGCCATCGATTAGCATCAATCATATCATTACCATATTCAGAAGCGATTGAAAAGATTTTCAAATTTGGAAAACATTTTGACAACAGTTCGAAACGTCCAAAAGAAATTCGACACTCATCTATATGTAAATGTTTCAAATGAACAGCACATATATTACTAAAATCATATTTATAGTCCACGTTGTAATCATATTGCTCTTTATTACCACCAAAACAGTCGATTTTTATATATTTTAACATCGATGTATAATTCAATATTGATAGTAATTGAGATACAGTACACAAATGAATTCTTAATGACATAACTGACGATGTTCCATAAATAGATGTTAGACAATAGTTTGCTAATGTTAGCACTTGTATTTTCGATTTAGATATAACCTCTGCTTCTATCTTCCATCCAGGAGCATAAAACCGATATAAATCAGGTAATAAGGTTAACATAGGTGAGACTTGTTCGTATTCAATATGATAATGAAGCGTGCCAATAAATGATAATGATCGAAGGTGAATAAATTCATTTAATGAAAATAATGACAAAAATGATTGAATCTGTTCACATGTACCTATATTTGATAATTTTAAATAAATGATGTTTCGTTTTATTTTCGGATTTATTAGTATTGTTTGACAAAATTCATTAAACGAAGACTTTTTAACTTGTTCAAAATTGAGATGTAAATCAATGTTTCGAATAAGTATATAGAATCGATAGTTTAATCGATCAAATGAATGAAAGATATCGGGTGCATTGAGATATTGAAAGCATTCAATGAGTATTTCATTTGGTAACAGTTCAAATTTCATTCTGCTCGATATTTTATCTATAATAAAAAAAAAGAGTAACAACATGTATTTACTGATAATTTTTGCACGTGTTCTATGTTATAGATAGTATAAGAGTAAAAGAAAGAATGTAGGAAGAAATAATTTTAACTTGTTCTTTTAAACTGTACATAAGTCATTGGTTTAGGTTTAATCAACTATATTCTATTTTGAGACTCAATACACAGAGACATCTTTTTATGATAGTTTGTAATTTATCAAACATTAGCATATAGTGAAGTATTTTGTAAAAATGTGTGATAAATACAGGTTAATATTCTATACGTTTCACGCATAGCAATCGCTTTTTGTTAAAAACGAACTTTTGTATCTATTATACGCATATACTCGATAGTTAATATTACTTTTCTTTTTTGTGCTGATGACATCAGTATATTATGAGAGTGTGGGTATTATTCTTGTCTTACACCCACACCCATTTCTCCCTTGGTTATACTGTAGTCTCATTTTAGTAAAGACACTTGTGCGAATAAAATGAATATTTCATACGGGCGTCTTATTTTTCCTATATATTACCAATACACACTGAAAACAAAGATGGCATCAATCGAAGTCAAGTCGAGTTTTGTAGAAAACAAGGACCTTTTAAAAACATTTTATACATAGAATAAAGTTTTTAAAAAGTTTTGTAGATTACAACGAATTTGAAAGTAGTTTTACGCTTTCGTAGCTTTCCTATAAAACCTTCGAAAAAGGTTTCTGAACCCTTCACAAGTCTTATGAAAGGGTCTTAGGTTGGTGTCAAACCTTCCAGAAGGATTTCCGTTTCATTCCAAAAATAAGTATTTTATCAAAGTTTCGTTATTCGGGTGAGCGGTGTCCATGTGCTAGATAAAACACTAACAAAAATGGTTTCGTATGGCACCATTTTTGTTTCAGTACACCTTTGCAACAAATAATTTGATGCCAATATGCAAAAAAAGAGAAATGCTAATATAAGTGAAAATGTTTTGCTCTCTTGACTTTTCATTCATTCTTCATATAATATTCTGTAATTCGAGTTATTCTGGATGATTTCACTTAATTATCTAAGCAATAAAAGGTCCGTTTTATAGAAATTTGTTTCTGTTTTCACTAGCTGAATTTTTTATATTCTGACACGAAGGAGTGACATCACATCAAAACGCTATGTAAGAAAGAGAAAGAGAAGAATAATTACATATTCGTACATTCAGGTAACAATATTTCATTTCTACTATTCACATAGCTCGTAAAGTTTGCGTATAAGACGAACGAGACAAAACAGTGCTTAGGTGTGTGGAATATAATCAAGAAAAAATGAACTCACATCGTATCATCATCGCCTTTGTAAGCTATCTCGCTATGAACAGTGTCATGGGTCAACTGACGTTTCAATATCCTAGTGGAGACTGTGCCAATGGTATTGTACCCAATAGTGCGAATGGTTGTGTGGCGTCTCTCGCCTATTCAATTCGACAAATGTATCCAGCTATATGGAGCGAAAATACTCGTGTTAGAATATGTGGTTATTTATGCGTTGGAAGTTTGAAAAATTTAGATGCAACTTATAAATGGATTTGGGCTGCTACATTTCAATGTGTATCAAAACCTAATATTGGCAGCGCTACTCTCTCCGGAGGAAGTAAAGGTCCAGATGCTACTATGGAAGCGGCCATTACTAACTGGATCGTCGCCTCGTCCTTAACCGGTAATTTCAAGGCAGAAGAATTCAAATGTTAAAAAACTTGCTTTTTATGAAAATGCATGTATGCAAATTAAAATATCTTTAAAATAAAATATATCTTCATCATGCACTCCTCGTTTAAGAAGTATGTGATTTTAGTATCATGAACATATGAACAGTGTAAATGAAAAGGGTGTTGACGTGAATGCGCTTCTACTTATAATTTACTCACACCGATACCTACGCTCACCACCACCACTTTTGGCGCACCTATGTAGTTGTATCTTGAGAAATTACCGTAATCGAAAAAAGTCATGCACTTTCGTATCATTTATCCGTATCCTAACTTTCTACAATAAATATTTATTGATGAATATAACATTTTCCCCTTCTATAAATAATGTGCTAATATATAAACTCACAAAGAAAAGTATCTTAATTCTTGTGGCATACTGATATCCACCCATGTGATCTTATCTTGATATAAGGGGTATGGGTGAGGATTGAGACAAAACACATCCTTACTCACACCTACATCGACACCCGTTCATATTGATATATATATATAGTTTAAATAATGCAAAAATAAAATAAACTATATTAATAGCAATAATTAAACAACGTGTAATATATGCGACATTATCCGCTAACAAGTTCCTATTTGATATAATATTGTACCAGGTAATATCTATAGGAGATGTGCATAATTAAAAGACTCAGTGTTTAAAAAAAATTAAAACCAATAAATGATTATTGAAATGATCTGTAAAGTTTCTCAATTATTCAGATAATCAGTGAGTCATTTTTGAGAGTTTCCTGTGTAATAAATTATTTTCAGATCTGATTCTCATCAATATTTCCTTAGTCTCTCTTGAAATTGTAGCTCATTTATAAAGTACGAAATATAGAAGTTACTACTATGTAAAAGAAACAGGATCCTTTAATGCACTTTTAAAGACAAAATAATCGAACAATCATTCGAAGTAAACATCGTCAACTGCTCAGTAGTATACAACATCTATCGATAGCTAGTACGTATTCACCATCTTGAAGATGTGAGTTTGGGCTTCTACTAGTCTCTTCTTCCCGTATACCCACACCCACCCACTCTCAAACATTGGTTCGATAAAACCTCTTGTTTTTAAAGTGAACATTGTTGAATATATTGATAATTAAAAAATAAGAAATTATTTTTAAACTCTTTATTACACTGAAACAACATTCATTCTGCACAACGAAACATACAAATACAAAAAGCAGAGTAATGAAAAGCTTCTAACTAATGTACAACAATACAATAAGTCATAAAGAGAAACAAAGTGATGTTTCACAAATGAATATTGATTTTAATATAAATAAAGAA